AGTCACTAGTCATTCACAGGGCACTTCACCTAGTGCAAGAAGCAACGGGGAAAACAATACAAACTCCCCAGGTCTGAGAAGGTCGCTCAGGGTAAGAGGCCCTCCCAAATACCTAGCCGATTACGTAAGGTGAGCAGGTACATAGCAATAGCTGAACTAAAGGTACAGGCTGGTTGACTTTAAGGAAACAAGGTTGGGGCCACTGGGTCTAGTTCAAAGGAACAGTCCCACACCTTATACACTGTATGACATTAACTCATATTTAATTATATTACCATCAATAGGATGGCGTCCATGTGGGCGCAATCTTATTTCATCCAGGGGGAAGGGGTGTTGTGTCCTGAGCCTGCAAAAGGCAGGCTCGGGATGTTGCAAGAGTCCCGGGCATTTGCAGAAGCTGCCCGGGACCAGACTGAGTGGCGCCGGCCTTGTGCGCATGCGCAAGGCGGGAAAAGACCGCCTCTTGATTGGTTGAACTTGCCTGGGGATCAGAAGGTATAAATAGAGGCCTGCGTGCCTCTGCTCGGGTTGTTCATAGATTGGAAGCAGAGAATAAAGACTTGTTAGAAATGCTTCGTCTCAAGCGCCATTATTCTCCGGACTTAACAGTGGCCATATTTGCAAATCCAAACGAGATATGAAACAGATGCTAAAATAGTGGGATTTTAAAAGAACAGACAGAATTCGACCAGATACTGCTAAAAACAGATGAAAACTGATTAAGAAACTATAAATATCTGTTAAGCTTAAAGATTGAGGAGGAACAAGTAAAAGAAACAATGATAACATGGGCAAAGAACTTTGGACATAATATAGAATTAGAAAATTGGGAAAGGTTATGGGAAAGAAATGCTAAATTAAGGAAAGCAGCGGCACATAAAGAAAACTTATATAAAATGTTTTACAGATAGCATTTAACACCAGTGAGATTAGCAAAAATGTTTAAAAATACTTCAAACAAGTGTTGGAAATGCAAACAAAAGCCAGGTACCTATTACCATATCTGGTGGACATGCCCTAAAGCTAAAAGATTTTGGTAAAAAATACACTTATGGTTGGAGAAAATACTAAAAAACAAATAGATGTTAAGCCAGAATTATTTTTGTTAGGAATAATAGGAGCAAATTATGAGAAAGGCTGTATATATTTAATTTTACATGTACTAATTGCAGCAAGAATTGTATTTGCCCAATATTGGAAAAATGAAAATTTACCAACCGAAGAACTAATTAAGAAAATTTTAGAGTGTACAGAAATGGATAGATTGACTTTAAAGATAAAAGAGAAAGAAGATTCAGTGTATTTTAGAACATGGGATAATTTTTATCAATGGCTAGAAAAATGAGTTAGAGAGAAAGGAATGTGATATGTAACATTGATTAATTAACAATTAATTAACAATTAATTAATTAGCAATTAATTAACATATTGTTTATGATAATTAATTATTATTTTTTTAAATACATGAACCCAGACCCACCCTAACAAAATGTCTCGGTTTTAATAAACTTTAGTCCAGTTGCCATGATTTAACCTTTTTAGATATTTTTGGCCTGGATGATTGAGTCTTCATTTACATCCAGTGGTGGGATTCAAATATATGAACAACCGGTTCTCTGTGTGGATGCCACTTCCGGAAGTCCATTCTGGGCCTGGGCAACAAAAAATTAGCTACCAGTTCTGCCGAAGTGGTGCGAACTGTCTGAATCCCAGCACTATTTACATCCCCATTAGAATGAAATAAGACAACAATCATTTCCAGAAATTTTAATGTTTACATTTCAGATATGACAATAAAGATTTCAGTGGACGTCTTTTTTGTATTTTCCTGAAAAAAGAATCAGAAATTTAAGTTTACATACTATTCCATTTTTTCAGAAGGATGGTTGCTAGCACTTACAAAATCAATGCTTTTCCATTGTAAGTCAGAGATTGAGAGTTTTATTCCTTTTTAGTGTGTCTGTCTCCCCATTTTTATGTACATTTTATTTTAGAGAAGAAAAAGTTTGCCTATTCCATTTTATTCCTTCTTTCATTTATGATCAGAGTGAGCCTGTTGTTTTTTTAAAAAGCAAATTGCTTTCCTCCAATTTTTATATTCTGTATGTTTTAATTTTTTAACTCACCACAATTAAGAGATTCTTGGGATTACCATCTCAAGAATAAAATAACCACACTATGAAGAATTTTACATGAGTTAAATAGTAATTGGCTAAAATAACAAAACAATCAAGTAATGGAATAAAAATAACTACCCACCTTTCTTTTATGGTCTCTTAAAATTACCTTTGCTAAGATATTTTCTTTGCTCTCTTTTTAAATATTTCAGTATTAATTGCACTAACTACAATTTTCTTTTACTTACTTGCTTTTTCTCTTAAGGCTGATCCACACAACCAGAGTGTGCCAGCATAAGTATCTATCTGTAACCAGTGCACTGGGAAGCCAATAGGTTTTCTGATTTGGGTGGGTTTGGGCTATTCAGACAGTGCTGCACAGTCCTCTTGCTGTACTTCATTTCATTGTAGGCAAAGGCCTCCATTCCAAACATTTGGTGTACTGGGGCAGGAGTGCCCCCACTCCTTTGGTCATTCATTACTGCCCTCATGGACTTTTCATCAAGAGTGCCAGTCTGGGGATTGGCTGGACTTTCTTATTTTAATAGGTTCACTGATAGACCAGTGAAAGGCTGAGTTTTTCACCAGTGCATTTTTATTTAGTAAATCACATAAAGTAGACAGGAATGCCAGCTTTCTGATTTGCCAGTGAAAGGAATAATAGTAAAACTGTGGTATTTTCTATCTTTTCTTCTTTTTTTAAAGTGGCCTACCGATCAATGCATCAGATGGGACCGTGATTAATAGCTGAAGTGAAAGAGATGAGTTTGGTTTCCTTCCAAACAGTTTGTGTCTATCAATAGAAACAGTATGTCCTCAAAGTCCTGTCTCCCATAGAGAGAAAAGCAATTGGTGTTTGCTTTCATGGCATGGATGGTATGAGTAAAGAAGCAGAGGAATCTTCCAAAGAGGGGCTGTGGCAAGCACAGCCCAAAGAGAACTCCAGGCTATCATAATGGCCAGAGTTCAAGTACAAGTAGAAACCTGGAGAGGAATTTCTTTATTTTCACCTGCTTTATGCCCTGGTGACAAACAGCTTGGAACTGGATCATGGAACCACTCTTCCCTGCCCTGGTCAGAATTATGTAACATGTTATGTATAGGCAGTCCTCAACTTATGACCACAATTAAGCCCATTTCTGTTACTAAGCAAGACAGTTGTTAAGTGACTTTTGCCCCATTTTACGACCTTTCTTGCCACAGTTGTTAAGTGAATCACTGCCATTGTTAAGTTAGTAATACAGTTGTTAAGTGAATCTGGCTTCCCCTTTCACTTTGCTTGTTAGAAGGTCGCAAAAGGGGATCACATGACCCGGGACACTGCAACTATCATAAATATGAGTCAGTTGCCAAGTGCTGAATTTTGATCACATGACCATGGGGATGCCATAGTGGTCATAAGTGTGAAAAATGGTCTTAAGTCCCTTTTTTCAGTGCTGCTGTAACTTTGAATGGTCACTAAATGAACTGCTGTAAATTGAGGACTATCTGTAATTAAAAATATAAGCTTTAAAAGCAACAACAATACCAACTATAGAACTGCAGGAAATGAATTCTGTAATATTTAAAACATTTTTTAAAAAAAACAAAAACAAATATATTTTGATCAACAACTTGCAACTATATTAAAGAAGAAAAAGGGAGGAGGAATTTTACTGTTCCTCCCCTATGACTATCTATAGGCAGTGCTTTTTTTGTAAAAAAAAAAAAAAAAAAATAGGTGCCGGAACTCACACATGTCATACAAACCACCTTGCCTACCCTACAAGGTCCCATCCAGAAAAGATGCCGGAACTCCGTTCTGGGCATTCTATGACAAAAAAAGCCCTGTCTATAGGTATAAGCAAAATAGGATAAAGCCACCCCCAAAATTCTGAAAATCTGGTAATGCCTAGAGCAGTGATGGCGAACCTTTTAGAGACCGAGTGCCCAAACTGTAACCCAAAACCCACTTATGTATCGCTGGGTGCCGGGTGGGTGTGGCCCACTCGGCGGGCGCAGCTACAGTGGGTGTGGCAGACTGGGTGGGCATGGCCACTGAATGGGCGTGGCTGCAGTAATCATGGCAGACTGGGTGGGCATAGCCTGAGTGGGCGTGGTCACCTCAATGTTGCTTATGGGGAGGGACACCTGTGGGAGCCGGGCAGGGTTGGGGGAGATCCAGGGGCTCTGTGGTGGGTGGGATGGTGGGCTCCCCAATGGCGGCTCCAGGCTGGCTGGCCTTAGGCCAGTGATGGCGAACTTTTAGAGACCACATGTGCTGGGGCGATGGCGCGTGCCCACAGAGAGGGCTCCGCGTGCCACCTCTGGCACGCGTGCCACAGGTTTGCCACCACTGGCCTAGAGTCTAATCATGTCTGCTTGCAGCTGTTATCAGGAAAGCAATGATGCCTGTAAAACAGACTGCAAAATAAATGCTTTGTAGTAAAAACAGCCTGGAATACTGCTAACTTTTAAGGTCGCTGGATGGAAAGAGACTATCTGGCTGGAATTATGAAATGGCTATATTTCAGTTTGATCACTCCAAACCTTTTGTCAAAGGAGTGCAGTCACAGCACAATGCCATTTTATCACCCTAAAAGAACTTTTCCACAACAGACTATGAATTGAACCATAATCTGGGAAAGAAGACAATCTGCAAATCAGTACTGTAATAGACAAAAATTTGTAAAAGCATTCCTACATCATCTTTACCTTCACTGCAAGGAGCGTTATATTCAACAACAGTATTGTCATCTGAATAATAAAAAAGGATAGAGGGTAAGGTCTTTATGTCATTTCTCAGACAAAGAAACACCCAAGGTTATTTACAAGAGAAGTAATGCAATCATAAATTTAAAATAAATTGTATCATTTACAATAACATCTTTTTTTTCTAAAAGTAAAACACACTCCCTCTCATATTACATGATGCAAATGTTTACTCAAATTGAAAGGGAGCTGCAGTTTTAACCAGCTGGTCTCCAAGACCACTACTTATTATAGCACAATGGAAAGAATCAGGAACCTTCACTCAGATTATCATTGTGGAAACAAGTGTTATTTTTTCCTTTTCAAAAGTAATGATTAAGCAGATTTCTATATATTATCATAGTAACATGGCATGATCTAATAGGGAATTTAGGAATATTAGAACAAATATATCATGTAGTATCATCATCATCATCTTTGTATCTTAATACCCATAGAATATGTGAGTATTCACATCACTTCATGTATTGGTAGAAAAATCATCACAGCAGGTACAATGAAAAATATGGACTTGGATGGGATCTGCTTACCCAAGTGAGGCACATATATTTTTCGATACTAGTTAAGTGGTTGGCCTATATTTTCAACTGAACAACAATCTAGTCATGTTCCCTTGCCCAATCTCCAGCTTTATGTCATGTTAAGTAGAGTAACTGAAGGATGTTCCTCCACCAGCTGGTGACTTTTAGTAAGAGGGGACAGCAGAGAATCCCTATCTTTTGCATGTCAGGTACATTATAAATAAGAACAGCATCTGTGGCAGGATAGAAATCACCAATATGAACAGCAATTTTTCTGCTAACATAGTTTTAGCCAATGCACTAACTGGTGAATAGTACGGTACTAATTAAGCTCAGAGAAAGAATCCTAAGGATGCCAGCTGCTAATCTTAGCCCTCAGCCGAGTGCTGAATGGAAACAAGATTGAAATGTGTAAAAAGGATGGTGAAGAACCTTGGGACAGTTCTTTGGGCTAAAAAAGGAGAAGAATGGGGAGGAACTAGGGATATGCTTACCTGGATGGTAATAATCATAAACTTTAATTATTGCAGGCTTAAGATCTGTTATTTCATGTTCTTGTACCACATCAAAATTGTAGTTTTGAACTGTATTATCCAACTGAAGAAAGACAAAGGTAGAGAAAAGTTTTGTTCTAAAGTCAAGTCTTATGTCCACAGGAAGTAGTCTTAATATTAATTCCACATTTTCATCTTCCCAGAAGATGAATTGTCATTGAAATGAATTTCCACATCATCTTGAGCCCCTTTAAACCCAGCTTCATATCAAATTGACAAGATTATCAAGAGGTCTTACCTGATCAAGGTACATCGTGATTTTGTCTTGATCAAGTTCTATTTTCTTTACTTGGCCTTTGCCTTCCAGCTAACAGAATATAGAACAGTAAAGCACAGTCAGGCAATAGTATGACAGGTCATATGAGCCATGGACGAATGTGCTATATATAGAGCTATGCAAAACATGAAGTGAAATTATATGTGACATATAGATTACATATAGATTTAATCTATATGTGACATATAGATTAAATTATATGTGACATATAGATGTGACATATAGATTACTATGCAAAACATGAAGTGAAATTATATGTGACATATAGATTATATTAATGAGGATGGACAGTCCACAGCCTGTGGCTTGCATTCCACTCCAATTCCTCATAGGTCCTTGAATCTTGTTAGTTACCTGTTGGGCTGCCATTTTTAAAATGCTGGAATGCTAAGAATATGTTCTCACAGGCCTGTGAGATGTTATGAGTAGCAATTGCCATCGGAAGCTTTTTAGAGTTTTTGATACTATTTTTGGTTTAAACACTATAGCCATGATACATGCAATTTCAACTTTGGAAATTGGGTGGGCAGCCATATAAATTTGATTAATAAATATATAAAATAAATTAACTTCTGACATGATAAGCACCTCTGCATCCCACAGCATTTTAAACAGTTACAAATCCTAATATAGGTGGTCCTTGTAATGACCACTTGTTCAGCAACTGTTCAAACTTACGATGGCACTAAACAAGTAGTAGTTATAACAGGACCTCATATTTATAGCTCTCACATCATGTCTGTAGTCATGTGATCATGTTTTGCAACATTTCCTGCTGATTTCCCACAAGCAAAGTCAATGGGGAAGCCAGCAGGAAGTCAGAAGTCACAATCATGTGAGATTCCCACTTAATGACCTGCAAGACCCATGTCTAATGATGACAACCAGGATTGTTGGGATTGCTTTTGATTAGTAGTGTAGTTACATGTTTTTTTACTTATGATCACATTGCTTAACAATGGAGTTTCTGGTTCCAGTTAGTGTTGTTAAACTAGGATTATCCGTAGTACAATTAGTTCTTCCTTAGAAGTGGTAATACTATGTTGTAACTGTTCTCATATCATCAGGGTAATACAACAAGATTCTGAAAGCTGGCAATAATAGCAGTTTGCTGAATACCATAGTAACAAGCATATATAATGCATAAGGGTAATTTTTACTGCAAATGCTAGAAATATTTCTTAATATATCTGAGGAATAGCAGAAGATGAAAGTTAAGATTTTCTTACCTTCTTCACAGATTTCTCCAGAGGAATGAATCCTGATACCATATTCACTTCTATTAGGGCCATATTACTTGTCTCTCGTTGACCTATGTAGCTACACAAAGAAACAAGGGAATTCTCAATCAAAACAGAAATGAAAATTCTGGTAAAGGTTAATCCAGACGAGAAAAGAAGATGACAGTGGATTTTCTCCGGGTTCAAGAGACACTCACTGACTCTTTTCTTTCCAATGATAATTCTCTGAGCCAGAGTCTGTGACAAGGGTTAGCATGATCAGGCAGCCTCAGCTTACAAAGTTTGAAGCAATTTCTGTTTTTCAAGGAGCTAATTCCTCTGCTTTGCTTTAGCTGTTCACTATCTTAGATTATCCCAAATACAAAGTTTCCCTGAGCATTACAGTCTTTTGGACTAACTGAAGGAAAATGAGAAACAGTTATCATGGCACCTAGCCATATGTCTTGTTGGCCTGACAAACATGAAGAGGGGGACTTCTAAATGAGAATCAATATGGTACAATATACAGTATTCAACCTCTTGAATATTCAGCTCTGTGCTATAATTCAAAGTGCTGGCCAGTTAATTGGTGGTTTATCTGAATGGATGAATTATACGATGATAAATAAAAGGAAATTTTCTTCTGGAGAAGATAATAATTTACTAGAAGCAGAAATTTGTTGTTCATTCACCAATGAATCTATCAAGGACTCCCAGTGGTTTGAAATCATAACTATTTTTGCAGGAAAAGCAAATGGTTCTCATTAGATGTGGGATGGACTTGCTAATGAGAATGTTCTAAGCTAAGAATCAATACCTCAATTCTAGCAGGATAACAAAACGCTTCCAGGAGATGAAGTTGCACACATTTGGGAATGTTTCCACATTCAAAGTAAAACTATCTGTCTTCTGCAGTGGTTGGTTATACCGAAGGACAGTCTAATTGGAAAAAAATAATTGCTATATTCAAATTTGTGTTGTTAATGTAGAAAAATGCTGAATACAATAAATGCATGAATAAGAGGGCATTTACTAATCTTGCTGCTCTCAAAGCAAATTACATAAAACCTCAACATTAAAAGCCAATTGAGAGGAAGGAGTGTCCATTAAATCAAAATTTATAATAATATACATAAATTGGATATAATTTACATAATTTATGTAGTTTAAGGAAAATGTATGCAAGTTTATGGAATTTACAGATATTTTATGGGGATTCTATAGATACAGAATAATGGAATTGGAAGGGACCTTGGAGGTCTTCTAATCCAACCCCCTGCTCAAGCAAGAGACCCTATACCATTTTGGACAAATGGCTGTCCAATCTGTTCTTTTTTTTGTAATATATTTTATTGATTTTTTTTAAAACATAAATCACTTAATAATTGGTGAACAGTGTGTTGTCTGGGTTACATTTGTAAAACAATCACTAACAATTGATTTATATAATCCATAATCCACATAACAGTTTTAGTTGATTTCCTCTTTTCCCAAAATATCCTCTTATATTAACATTGAGTTAATACAATTCTTATTGTTTTGATAGATAACAATTAAATATATAATTTTTCCCAATAGTCCTAAAAATAATAATCACATCAATATAATATTTCTTTTCTATCCAATCATTCTGGTTGCCTTAACATAGATCCTGTTACAGTCCTTATTTTAATTTGTTTCTCCCACCAAATTCTAGATATTCTTACTGGTTAAAATTTTCTCAAAAATTAATTACATTTAAGAATTTAACTCTATTTTTCCATATGAACCATCTCATACTTTTACATTTCTTAAGAAATAGATAAAACAGTAGGAAAAAAAGAAAGAAAAGCAAGAGTAAAGAAGCATAAAAAATAACATACTACTTAAAATATATATCCCTCCTAAGCTAATACGTATTTATTTCCTAAATTTCTTATTCTTTTTAACCATAATTAAAAATATGTTTAATCTTTAAACATTCCATTTAATACATCTTATTAATACTCTTATTCAAAACATTTTTTATCCATTATAATTTTCTTAAATTCAATCACATTTAAGTATCTAAAACATTTCCTTTATCTGTCATTTCAACTTTTTTATATTACTCATATCAAGAAAGAGAACAAAAAAGGGAAAGTCTGTGCTGGGAGCAATCTTTTTTCAAAACAAGCACATTTCATCCCATGCAAGGGTTTACCGTCTGCTCGACGGTTAACTAAACTGTTCATAACACATGTATCGGTTGCATGGGGTGCCCCGACGTATAATAATCTGATCGGGGTGTACAATTTACCACCCGATTCTGGAGGGTGTTCATCCACTCGATCGGTTCATCACAAGGCCTGAGTTCCGCATTCCACCCCAGCACTAATGGAGCAGCTGAACGAGCCAACACGATGGTGGAACGGTACTTGAGGTGTTACGTTGACTATCAACAGACGAACTGGGCTGACCTCCTGCCGTTCGCTGAGCTGGCATACAACAACACGGTCCACAGTAGCACCGGCTTTGCCCCCTTTCGGGTTGTGCACGGAGTGGAGTTTGTCCCGATCCCTGAATGCCCACAGGGGGACCCCTCTCCTTGTCACCTGCAGGAGTGGATGCCTTGGATCTGAGAAGTGTGGGACTCTGTCAAGAACGCTTTGAGAAAAGCTGAAAAGGTTTCAAAAACACAGAGCGATAAAAAATGGGCACCACAAAAACCCTTCCAGGCAGGGGACATGGTGTACCTGTCTACCACGTACTTAAAGCTGCACCTACCATGTAAGAAACTGGGGCTGAAATATATAGGGCCGTTCAGAGTGCAACAGGTCATCAACCCAGTTACCATACGCTTACAGCTTCCCCACAGTCTCGACAAGGTGCACCTGGTTTTTCATAGTAGCCTATTGAAGCTGGCGGTAGGATTATCGTTCAGACGCATAGAACAACCACCAGGGCCTATCGGGGGGAATTGATACGAGATCTGAGAAATACTCGACTCTCACATTCATCGGGGTCATGTACAGTATTTGGTAAGGTGGAAGGGATACCCAATATCAGAAGCCTCCTGGGTGGGGGAAGCGGATGTCGCAGCTCCTCGGTTGTTACGACGGTACCACCACAAGTATCCTCATAAGCTGGGGGGAAAGCTGATTGTATCAGTCTTCACGGCATGTACCTAATTACACGTCTTTCCTTGCTTTCCAGGAGGAACCCTGGTAGAGGGGCCACCTGTCAAGCCCTCCAGGCTTGACATGAACAGGTGGGGGGGAGGGGGAGGATGGTGCGCAGGGCGAGGAACGTCGGCAGCAGTCCACCCGCCAGCAGCCAGCCAGAGCCTTCAGCCGACGATCAGCTGGTGTGCGGCCGCACACCAGCTGTGTCTGGCGGCGTTTCCCGGTTCGCCAAACAGCTAACGGGTTGCCGGGCGGTCGGGGAGCCGTCTTCGGAACCGCGCTGGCTTGCTGATGAGTCTCTGGAAAGCGGATGGCTGTGGACTTACCGGTAAAGCCTACAAAGCGGCAGAGAGGATGTTTGGAACTGGCTAGGACGGGGAGAGCTGAGAGCCGGCTGAGACACAGTCATGGACAACTGAGGCGAAAAGGCTGATGGACGTTGCTGCTGGCCATTTGAGGCCTCACGGCTGGATGCTAGCTAGATGGGTGGGGAGTGGGGTTTAATGCATGTGCCTGTAAATACAGCGCTGGGAGGCGATTGCTCCCAGCACAGACTTTAAAAGCATTGTTGTTTGACCTGCATGCCGAAGATTCCTCTCAGTAAATTGGAAACCACCTGTGAACTGATCGACTGAGTCTTTCTTGCCAGGGGTGAAGTAGGATCTTTGACCCATATTATATTATAATTAGAGAATTCATCCCTCTTAGAGTGACATATATATTCCAAAACTTTTCTATTTCTTTAACCATATTCAAACAAATGTTTCTTTTTTAAGTGTTCTCTCTGGTAAGTCCCATCATCTATTTTCTTAGTTTCTACTTTAGTCTTTTTCTTTTACCCAGTGTCTTTCTTAATCAATGTATTTTGCTGAATCAAAAAGGTTTTCCGTATGTTCATAAGTGTTGCTGCAGATATAAAAAATAAATCAGGAGAAGTGTCTTTGTACAGGACTTCTGCCTTTCCATGTTTGTTGAAAACCTTTTTCTTTTTCTTTCTCTCCACTTCTCTTATCATTTCCTTTCTCTCCAATGTTCCTGACATCTCTACAGTCCATTTTATCCGATCTGTTTTCTTGTCCTCAGATTTATTTTGTAGTCTTAAGGGATAAGTTGTTTTTTTCCAATTCATGTGAATTTTTTCCCACTAGGATTAAATCATGTTTCCTTGTTTTGTTAAGTTCTATCTTTAAGTCTCTATTCTCAATTCTATATCCATTTATCTGTTTTATCTACTCCTTCTCTGTTGTTGTTTTCTCAAAAAATTTTTGTTGTAGAGTTTACTTGGAAATAGATTGATTTATATTTTCAATGTTGTTTTGGATTTCTTTGTGGTTTAAAGTCATTGTTGTTTGAATTAGTTGCAGTATACTATATATCTCCTCCTGTGACGTATTTATGTTTTCGTGATATGTTCTTTCTACATGTCTCTGATCCATGACAGCCAAGAATTTGAGTTTTCCTCTTCCTACTTTTCTCTGTAAATAGCTTTAGAGTCCCAATTAGATAGATAATTGTAATCCAAATAGTTCAAAAAAGATTTTTTCCTGAAATTTATAATTCTCTCTTTGTCTACAGCCCAGATTATTGTCTTTTTTTGTCACAGCTGTTCTTTGTTGTTAAAGCTTTGAAGGTCACAGACATAGATTAGCTTTTCCCAGATTTTGCCAAGTCTTATATTAAAGTCATAGCTGTCATAGTCTTCATCTGCCACTAGGTGTCAGCAACTATTTGTTTTTCAATTTCCAAAATGAACAATTATCTCTGAAATGAGAGTCTTAACCATTAAAACAACTTTAGATTTATCCAGATTTAAGTTTTAAGTTTCAGGTTTTATATTTATTTCACTTCCATATATTTTGACCCTCCATAAAAAGATTAATTCACCGCTTCCGTTAGTATAGGGTGGGGCGGAAATCCCCCTCCTTCCCTTTTGGAGGTATTTTGCTTCTTGGGGATCTTTTCCAGGAAATTAAATGTAAAATAGAAAAGAGAAGATCAAATTCCTCACCCAGTTTCAAGTACACTGTTCACAGTTGTGCTGGTTAGTGCTTTTGGACTTCGGTTGCAAGTAGCTTGGGCTGGTCGATGCAATATGGCCAGCCTTTCTCCTGTTGGGTTAGAAGGCTTTCCCCAAGTCAAACGAACAGACGCCGTCATTCCAGAATCGCTGGAGCACCATTCTTTCTCTCCTGGGTGACTTAGACCCATTTAGGGTCCCCTGGCAGGGCAAAATTAGCCACGGGGGTGCGGAGAATCCACAAGCCCGCGACCAGTCGCTACCATGCAAAGCTGGAAGTCCCAGCTGTCCAATCTATTCTTGAAAACCTCTAATGATGAAGCACCCACAACTTCTGCAGGTAAATTCTCACTGACAAGAAATTTCTCCTTAGTTCTAGGTTGGATTTCTCTTTGATAATCTTCCACCCATTACTTCTTGTCCTGTGCTCAAGTGCTTTGGAGAATAGGTTGACTCCCTTTTCCCTGTGACAGGCCCTCAAGTACTGGAAGACTGCTATCATATCATCTCTAGTCATTCTCTTTGTAAGATTAGACATACCTAGTTTCCTCATTCAGCATATGATTTAGTCTCCAGACTTTTTATATCATCTTTATTGCTGTTCTCTGCACTCTTTCTAGATTCTCAACATTTTTTGTATCATGGTGACCAACATTGTATGCAATATTCCAAGTGTGGTTTCACCGGTGCAATATAACAGGGTATTATCACTTCCTGTAAGTTTGAAACTCTCACTCTGTTGATGCAATTTAGGACTGAATTAGGTTTTTTTGGCAACTGCAGCATACTGCTGGCTCATACTTAAGTGGTGGCCTATTAGGACACCTAGATCCCACTGTTGAGCAAGGTACAACCTATTCTATATCTGTGCATTTGGTTTTTCTTGTCTATGTGTAGGACCTTACTTTGTCCACTAGGACACCTAGATCCATCTCACAGTTACTGCTGTTGAGACACATATCACTTATTCTATACCTGTGTATGCCTAAATGTAAGAACTTATTTTTCTCATTACTGAATTGCATTTTGTTGGATAGGACCCAATGTTCAAGTCTGTCAAACTCATTCTGGATCTTGAGCCTATCTTCTAAAGAGTTGGCTATTTACCCCAGCTTGTTGTTATCTGCAAATCTGATGAGTTCCCCTTCCATCTCATCTAAATCAACATCTTATGAAGATGTTGAAGGGTAATGGACCTAACTGCACAATGGGTATCCCACTGCATGCTTCCCTTCATGTAGAAGTGGTTCCATTAAGGACTATACATTGAGTGACATTGGTCTACCAGTTACGAATCCATCTGGTGGTAATGCTGTCTATTCAACATTTTTTTTTATCTTACCAAGAAGTAGACTGTGTCCACTTTGTCAAATGCCTTACTGAGCTCTAAGTAAGCTATATCCACAGTATTTCCTTGATCCACTAATTTTGTCACTTTGTCAAATAATGCAATAAGATTTGCCTGGGAAGATCTATTTTTGACAAACTCATGTTGGCTTTTAGTAATAGTGTTGCTCATTTCTATGGTAGATCATATGTTTGATTATATTTTCCAGGATTTTCCCAGGTATCGATGTCAGGCTGATTGACCTATAGTTCCCTAGATCATTTTTTTCCTCTTTTTTTTTTTAATAAATTTTTTATTAATTTTTCATTAAGAAGCAAGAACATAAATCTTTTATCACAATATCAACCATAAAGAGATCAACATCAAACAGTACATTCACGGACGTGTCCGGTGTCCCCCTCCTGCACCCCCCTCTCACCTACCTACACCTTCCTCCTCCTTGTCTTACCACCACTCCTCCTTCCTCCCTCTTACCTGCTTCCCTTTCTCCCTCAATCATCCCGTCAGTGCAGTTGGGGTATCACCGGGCACCTCCTTAGAAAATCATACATATATATATACATCTAAATCTATAATACCAACCTAACCCTTTCCCCCCTCCCCCCCCCAGGACTTCCCAAAGCTAATCTAGGAAATAAATGCACAATCATCCAATACTAATCAGAAAATACTCATTATTATTACACACTAGTACAAAATTACTGTGACTCTAAAATAACATTAAATTACAACAAAAAAAGTTTTCTTTTTTTTGTTTTAAATTATATCAATATATACCTAATTTTTCCTAAGTTTTTAATCAAAAGCAACATAATAATTTTTCAGTTCATACTTTCTCTGAATATAATCTATCCATCTTCTCCATGTTAAGATAAACTTTTCCTGAGAATGATCCTTCAGGTACGCGGATATTTTTGCCATCTCTGCAAAATATGATACTTTCTGTCTC